GTTACATAGGATCTGCCCTATTTCCGCGGAAAGGAAAGTAAGTAATGAAATGTATATTTTCTTATTTGTCATCGAAATTCAATCTCACTACACTTACTTCATACTTAATCAGTATTGTCTTTCACATCCTAATGAAATCCAAACAAAAAAAAAAATTATTTTAATAATAAAAAAACCATTTCTTAAAAATAACCTCGTTCAATTAATATAATATGTTCATCATAAAAACTACGGTAGCTCCATACAGCATATGAAAAACATAACGTCTACATAAAAATTTAAATCTTATATCTGTAAATTTATACAATATATACAAATGATCGTCGATAAAAATTATCGTACAATATAAATAAACGATGTTTGAAATTCAAATGCAGTAATAAGTAATATTTAAACGTGAAAAAGTTCATTATGTTTAAAAACATATCTCTTACTTACTTCCCTTTGTATTTCAAGCGGTTCCGCTGAAATGTTAAAAGAACCTTATAGATAGAACCGATGTAGAACCCGCATAAATAAAATCAGTGCTCGCTACATACGTTAGCCGAGCTTTGGTTCTTTTTTCTTTTTACCTTAATTCTCATTGTATCTCACGTCAATCTGTTTATTACCATTAAGCAATTATTATCTGGTATAATATTTATACTGTTATCCACGGCTTTTGTACATACACATAGAGGTACACAGCTACGTTGTAATACTCGCAGCAACGCTCGACCCGAGACGATTGATTCGTAAAGTTGGTTGGCTTATACCCACGGACGACTTGCGAGTCTAGAGATTGATGGGGTCATTTTTTAACCCCAAAAGTCAAAGTTATATCCACCAGTAGTAGCTTTCCTCGAACTTTCATTCGAGCCGTCTGACGATTTGAAAATCACAAAGTTTTCATTAGGCGACTGCTCGCCGGTTCTTGTTTTATGTCCGCGGTCTTAAAACGTCGTTTATCGTACAAAATCCAATCTGTAATCTTAATAAGAAAACTTTATTTTATAATGCTATATAAGGAATAAGACGTAAATCATTTTCTGTGCCAATAATATTCAGGGATGCACGAATCTATTTTTAATTTACTAATAATCATTAATATATAACGTTTTAGTGATTAATATATACCATACGTACTTCGCATGTACAATCAAATGAATTATTCTATTAGGATTTACATAGAATATTCGATGCTTATAATAACAACATATTATTAATTGCAGATGTTGTTGTTGAATTATCATTGATAACAGATGAAAAACAAATTAATATATTATATCTTAATATATGTGTGCTGCTTTTCGACAAAATAATATACAAACATTTTCTAATAAAGCTTAATTTTACTAGTCAAAATACGATGTTATGAATTTGACATTTATTATTAAAATTCATAATTATATTTGCAAAATAGCTTTCATCGTGACAAACGATTATAAATATGAATAAAATATGTAACAAACGTGACAAAGACATGAATTCAATATGCCGCCTTGAATTAATAAAGAAATTGATAAAATATTTAAAAAGCAGTGCTTTTACGTGATTGTAAACATACAAATCAATATGAAAAGGATGAAAATGAAAAGAGATTAAGATATTGAAAAAAATAAAAAGATGAATTCCCACAATAACGATAAAACTACAAGTATACATACTAAACTTTCTTTTCGCTGACTTAACGAAAAACTGTCCCCCTCATACACACAATCTCTCTCTCTCTCTCTCTCTCTCTTTGTCTCTCTCTCTCTCTCTCTCTCTGTTCATCTAACATTACTCTTCTGCATCTCTGTTATTTTTCCCTTTATCGGGTTACGGGTATAAAATACATGATCTTCCAAAAAAGATAGGACAATTTAAAAAAAATTCAAGTTCCAAGTTCGAACGGTAGTACCTCAATTATATGAGCATTCGCAAATAACGGAAAAGCGCCTTACGACGCATCGTGTAAGGAAAGATTCGTTGAGGATTCGAAAAGAATAGAAAAAGAAAGAAGAAAAGAAAGGAAAAAAGATGCAGAAACTGGCCGATAAGCTTAAAGCGCCTTAAGCGAGCACGTAGAACTCGTAAGGTTAATCTATCTTTTTGTCTTTTCTTCACTTTTTCTCTCTACCTCTCTATCTTGCTCATACTTCTTTATAATTGTAATTCCCCTTCTTTGCTTTTCCTTTTTCTCTCATTTTTGGGCTACATATTTGAATTTTTTATTTTTATCATCCTATTTTATATCTCTTTGCTTAAAATTACTATAAAAATTTGGGAGAGAAAAAAAAAAGAAAGCGAAATCCGTGTTGCTGCTAAGATTAATGCAGCAATTAATGCAATAATAAAAGCACGTCATATTTAAATATTTTTAAATTCAAATTTTCTAGTTTCATTGTATGTATCCATAAAATTCATGTAAATGATAAAATGGATGTATTTCTATAAAAATAAAAAGTAAAATAAAAAAAACAATTTGCCCTTAATAAAAAATAGACATGTCATATTTGTTTGGTATTTACAAGTTTTTTGTTATGCTATTTCATTACATAAAACTCTTATTTGGAACAATTACTTGTTTATTAGAAAAACAGTGACTTATTCATTTTTAAAAGCTTTGAAACTCGAGTTTTATGCAGAATAAAAATTGCAATGCATTCTCGGAAAAATTGTAATAATCGAAATATAAGGGATTTTTCCTTATCCCACCTCGTATTTATTAGTATCTCAACAATTTCATCCTTCTTCGGTAAAGCTGGCGAGCTCCATTTTCTATGAAAAAAATTATCATAAGTACCGATAAAAGGATTCCTAAGAATTAATATCCAACGATTTTCTTCTCCTTTCCATTACTGCTTCTCTCATTCACATATATATATATATATATATTGGGATTTACCCTCAGAAGCCTCAAATATATATAATATACTTGTTAAGTACAAATATATCTATATTATAACAAACTGTCTGAAGGAACTGGAATTTAAAATCAGTATAAATGACCAGGTAATCTTCCTTATATATATTTTTTTAAGGTTCTTTGAAATTTTCTGTAATTATCCACGATTGGCTTTGACAAGGAATTGTAAAACATTCCTTGACCTTCTCGATTCTTTGCTATACTTAAAATTCAGATTTGTGGGAATTCACGAAGTTAATGTCTAACTAAATTTCTTTTTAACTAATTGAAAAATCAATAATTAATAATAATTAATCAATAATTGTTTAATAAATTCAATTTAATAAAAGAAATAAATTCTTTTCATGTGAACGTTTAGACTTCCCAATTGTCATTAAATATCAATGTTGAGAGGTATAATTAATATATCGACAAATATGTCGGTAAATAGTCAATTAATACAATTAATAAGAAATTATTTTTAAAATATATTAAAATAATTACGCGACGGGTTACTAATATTGGTTCATATAAATATTCATGCATTACATCTAAAAGTCTTAATCTTTAATAATTATTTATAATATTATTTTAAAATATTTAAATAAGCAACATAAATTATTTTTTATAATAATTCACGAATAACGTATGATATTATGGTGGCACAACCAATTATAATATAATGTACAGAATATAATCTGTATACAGTATATTCATCAGTTCTTAAATAAAATAATAATATTAATATAAATTTAAAAAATTCGAGCAATTGCTAAATGTACGAATCAGTCGTATCGGCGAGTGTTTTCCTTAAATTTAGTTAAGTTTTTTGTCTGCGTTTATTTTTCTTTGCTAGTAGATTTTTAAAACCCTCTCTTTTTTATTATGTATGTTTTATCGCTCGGTTATGTTATAAGCGACTATTTTCAAACGGACGCTTTGTTTTTTTTTTTTTTTTTTTTTTTTTTTTTTTTTTTTTTTTTTTTTTTTTTTTTTTTTTTTTTTTTTCTTTCTATTATAGTAAAACTCATCTTATAAAGAGCATATTAATAAACTTTCAAAAAAAGCAAAAAGAAGCCCAAAGTAACATCAAAGGAATTCCTACAACAATTCCTACATACTTATATACACACTCGCGCATGCGTTCAAGCTGAAATATAAACGTAAATGAATATTTGTATATATAACATTTACGTTATAGCGTATCCGGAGTGTGTATATATCGTATTTATTGTACATATGTATGTATATATACATACCCATACATATACATACTGTATACGACGTAGCACGTATAAAGCCAAAGTGTAATCTAAAATAACTTTGTTTTATTTTTTATCGAATAAATTTTTATGGCACATTAAAACTGTAAACCAAGTTTTCTAAGAGTTTGTGCTAATCGATATATAAACACTTGGCTTTCAATGTGTTTTCGTGCGTCTTCTAGATGTATTATATAGGTGTATGGCAGAGACAGCAAATGGAATAGTATGAAAGTGGATGATTAAGAGCTATCGAAAGAATACATCTGAAGTAAAATAGTAGAAAATTTTATTTCTTTGAGATATTACGGGTACCATAAACTCATATATCTATTATAATTATATTTTTTATAATTAAATCGAAAATCGGTATTATCATTTCACATATGCAAAATACATTCGTTAGCGATAATGCAAGAAAATGTATAAAATCATTTGACAAATTAACTTATAAAATATAATGCATTTATGTAATAAATAAAGGAATGAAATTTTAAACAATTCCAATATATTAGAAATGTTTCATTAACCAATGAAATTTATTCAAACAAGCGAATAATTAATTGGACCATAAATTAACATAATCATAAAACACTTTAATATTATTTCCAAATACAGTTCAATATAATATTTATTTGTAAGCCGTAATCGGTCACGTTATAAGTTAAAATTATCACATATTAAACGTGAAAGAATACTGATTTTCGACCAAGACGAATGTCAAGGAATATGAAGGAAAAGAGCCCTTATACGTAATTTCTCAAAGATGCCCTTCTAGTAAATATAAACATGAAAAACGCAACATTAACGCATAACCGTCTCTTTTGCAAATCGCCATTATTATCCGCAAACCACGTGAACGCATGCAGGACTTCACCCTGGATTTTTACTTTCGACAATTTTGGACGGATCCTCGGCTGGCATTCAAGAAGCGACCTGGCGTCGAGATACTCAGCGTTGGCTCGGAGTTCATCAAGAACATCTGGGTGCCGGACACGTTCTTCGTCAACGAGAAGCAATCGTACTTCCACGTCGCCACCACGAGCAACGAGTTCATTCGCATACATCATAGCGGCAGTATAACGCGAAGTATACGGTGAGTACGCGCTATTTCTACATTTCATGCTCCTCTCCTTCTCTTATCACCTATCTCTTTTACACGGATTTTTGAAAAGTTTACTTGCCAGAGTTTTACAATTTTGCCAGATCTTATGTACCATCGTTTTCAAGTGAATTTATTCTTTGAAATTTTTATGATCCTATAGCGAAAGCTCATTAGAAAGTTTCGCTTTGTTCAAGTGGATTTCGCGAGATAATTAAAATCAAGGTTCTACGAACTTTTAAAAATATATAATATTTTCAAAACATTCGATGTTTTTAATAAAATTCTCAATATACAAAGTCCTCGATTTTAATCTATAAGACACATTTAAATAATAGCTCATAGTCAACGAATCTCATGATAATATATATAATTGCAAAATAATTTATCGTATACATATGATGGTAAGTAAAGTGAATGTATGCCGTAAAAAATAATAATATTAATATAATAATGTATATTCATAATAATAATAATAATAATAATAATAATAATAATAATCAACACACGTAATATTATATGCCTAGTTAATTCAATTTACGAATTCAATAATTATTGCATTTATTATTATCTTATATAATTATTAAATACTTAAAATATTTTAACATTACATATGATACTATGTGTTCACAAATATTTATAACATTATCATGACAATCGTTGTGACACTAATTCATAATGTATATTTCAATTTACAAATATTTATACCTTACTTTGACAAATCAATGAAATTTATTATTGTATTAACTAAATTAATAGTATTATTCATTCATTAATAGTATTTAATTGCCTTTATTAAAATAAGTTCAAAGTATTAGGAATAACACGTAGAAATTTTAGTTTTAAATTAAAAATGTAATCGTAAAATTCTAAGATAATTTCTTAATTTATTAATAATGTATAATTAACAAATGTTTCCTTTTTAATTAACGTAAAAAAAAATAGTAGTATTATATCATTTTTATATAATTTTCATAATTAATTGTTTCAATATATATATATATATATATATATTAAATATTAGATTATAAAAATCGAATTAAGGAGCCAGATAATAATTGACGAAAATTTAGTAAAAAGCCTGACTTCCGCATTCTATCCGCAGTGGCTGCTATATTAAATGACCCTTATTCTACAAAAGTGCATAAACCAAGTAAAGACAAGTGTCACCTATTTCTACCTCGATGGTTCAAAATGACTATTTTTTGGTGATTGTCCCGTTCTCTGATCGGCCGATGAATATGCCCATATCGTTGTTTAGTTGCTTCAAACGAGAATGTGCTCAACTGAGTTGACGAGCGAGACGGAGAGCGGGAGAGAGCTCTGAAGAGTTCCGTTTGACGTCGTTTACCTAATGTTCTCTATTTTTCTCGAAAACTGCTCTTGCTCCAACACACCCGCACTGGCCGCGTAAAGATAACTGAACCAATCAATCTCTCTAACTGTTATCGAACCACTGTCACGAAACTGCATCAAATTGCGGAGAAAGCAACACGCGAGGTTGAAAAAGCGAATGAGAATTAGAGAATGATGAGAAAGTAAAAAATATAAGAATAAAAATGTGCTTCGGGAAATAGGAAACGAGGACGGATTACGTACAAGTAATGATAAAAAATAAGCAATGAAAAATAAAATCTTTAAGCACGTTCGTTTACAAACATTCCGTGATATGTGTTTTCTCCTCCTTTTATTAAGTATAAACTGTCGGATTTCTTATTCATTGAATTTAGAAATTTTATAATTATGCACCTTCGCAGAACAGTTAATTAATGTTTAAACTTAATTCATTTTTAAACTTACATCTTACATCGTTCATTCAAATAAAATATTTTAATCTTTAGTATTTTTATTTTTAATGAGGGATTTCGCTTTAAAAAAAAATAATCAAACTAAAGCTGAAAATTCAATAAAAGCTCGCCTCAAGTAATGTATTATGTATTTTTAGAAGTCTGACAAACCTTTGACATAAATGAAAAAATATTCTGCATCTACAGCACGTTATTTACATAAATTTGCTATGTTACCAAAGAACACTAATAAATTAATTTCTATTAAATCTTTTAAAAAGGAATATTTGAAGAATTTTAAATTACTTTGAGAAAAACATATAAATTAATTGCATATAATTTTTTTTTTTTTTTACTAATTATGTCCAACGACTCACTCGTCTTTTATTATATATAAGAACGTAGCTTCAAAGATATGAATTTACGTTTAAAGCATTATTTTATCGTGATTTTTCTTTGACGGAACCATATTAAATGTAAACTAATCCCATCTCATTAATGTTTGAAACATATATATTATTCTAGGCTATACACAATGTGCAGTTTACATACACATAACTCAATACAAAAGCTTTCATTTAGTGTGTTGTGTATGAAGAAATAGCCGTAATATTATTACAGAAAATCACCTTAAAATGATGAGAAAAACACAATAAAATAATATTTGCTAGCCACAGACAATCGATAGACATATACATAGATAAATGAATAAAGAAATTCATTTATTTAGCATGAAAACATATCTGATCATCGATCGTAATGTTTATTATTGCTAAGCTTGGATGGCAATCCGGTAATTATCTGCGAGGCTTCGTGCATAATCTATCCCCCCCCTCTCTCTCTCTCTCTCTCTCTCTCTCTCTCTCTCTCTCTCTCTTTCTCTCTCTCTCTTTCTCTCTCTCTTTCTCTCTCTCTCTCTCCTTAATAGAATCGCGTGCAGGACATTTCAGACGAACGTGAAATAAATATGGCGAACGATTCACCGGTGAGATCTGTAGCAAACTTATAACGTCTGTTTGAAAAATGTTGATGAAAAAGCCACGAGTATTGGTTCGAAAATTCATCGCAGAGAGAAATACAAAATGAAAAAGAAAAAAAATGCATTTTATCAATCAAAACATGTCAAATCGAGTCGCGACGGTTTATCATAAATAAAATCATCGATTAAGATTGATCGAAGGTTCCGTGAAAATAATCCAGCAAGTAATTTCAATTTTGAACGAAAAATATGTTGATTGAAAAATAAGAAATTTAAGGCGTGTCTTAACACGTGATTTATAATTTGTAAAACTTAAAGCCCTGCTTATAAAAATTTAACGTAGATTTCATTTAGAGCATCCGAATAGCATAACCGAAATTGAAAAAAATAAGAAATCCCTTAATATATTATCGTAAGAGATAATAAAACGGCTAGGAGCAATGCTAACGAATTTACCATTTTCCATCTGACTAAGTATTTTCAATCTGATTAAGTAATAAGTAAGAACAGCCTTTCTCGATAATAAAATTTCTATTCTATGATAGCGTCGATACTTCGATTCGCGTATCACGACGAGCTTATTCGTGCGTGTCAGCTGCATTTCATAATCTCTCCGCGTCACCGAAACTCCTCGTTACGAAATATTTCGCGAATTTTCCTAGACGCGTCCGGCCTCGGAAAATTACATCAACCACGGAAGCCTTCTACAGGCATAGAATCTTCAATACGTCACGGAAGCATGAGGGAGCAAAGTCACAGTTCTAAGTATATTCCCCGCGACGTCCTCGGAAAGTTTTGGCTCTTGAGTTCGCGTGTAGGATCATCTAGGACCCACATCTAGGATCAATCAGCTGTAAATTTTCTCCGTATTGGTTTTCTTCCTGCGTCCTAAGAAGTCTTTGACAAGATACCGATAATTTTAACTCGCCTATTAATACAAAGACGTATTGAAATGCAAACGGTATTTTAAGATTCGTTTAAGTAACACATGTTTAGCCTATACTTTTACAAAACGACGATTCATGACGTAAGTAAGGCAGTACTCACTAGTACTCATCCCTTAATATGCCACCTGCATGAAATAGGATTCACTATTATTTTAAACGTATGAGTTTAACATTGTAAGGGGAGAATAGTGATATGCGCCTTGGCATATAAATAATAAGAGGGATATTAATTTTATAAGGGCGAGAGCAGCCAGAATTCACGACGAGTGCAATTGTCCGCCAAGCTCCCTCCATTTCTCCAATGATCGCAATTTCTGCCTCGGAGTCCTTGTTACTCGGACTCCAGCATTTCCAAAGTTCCGGCCTCTAACGCAAATTCCTCGTCGACATTCCCGCTGCCCTACTCTCAAGTATTCTCGTATTAACGCTCTCACTATATTCAGAAGCCATGCATATGTGAATCAGATTTTACCTAGAGATCCTTACCGCGACGCTGCACCAAGTAGCGACTTTCGGATAGTCCAGTAGCTGCTGGTCTCCAACTGCTTCATTTCAATATAGCACGAACGAAAGAAATAAGATAACCTTTTGTGTAGAAAGTTATGGGTTCAATAAAAAAAAAAAACGATGTGTGCACATGTAAGCGCATAGTTGCCAAAAATTTTGTTTTTTTCTCTCTCACAAAGTTTCGAGCACAAATACAAATTCATTATCTGTCACGGGTCTGTGTAACAAGCTGACAAAGAATATTGCAAAGTATTTGCGAGTACATTCGTTAATATTCAATGTCGCCGTTCGTTCGAAAGCTCATGATTTTTTGATGCGGATGGATTATCGACAACGTATTTTTACTAGCGAAAAATTTATCATTTTATATAACCTAAATTGGATAAAAGAGTGTTGAAACGCACAAGTAATAATATGGCAGTTAGATTACGTGATTATCAAAATAAAAGAAAGAAAGAATTGAATATTCGACCGTGGCTCGTGTGAAAATATTATCAAATGAATCTCAAGTTCAGGGTGCATTTTCGTATCAAACTTTTCATTTATTTCCAAAAAAAAAAAGCATCGAAGAATGTTAGATATTATAAATATAGGCATATAAAATAAACATTTTATTTATAAAAATTGTCGGATTATTTTACTAAAAGTACGATTGGTTAAACTAACAGAACAAGTAGTTTTGATTAAAGTCCCGCGTACTAATTCGTAATAATTATGAAAACATTGCACTCTCATGTTGTATCGGAAAATTACTCAATGTAATAACCGCTTATT